AAGGGTAATTGGTTGAAGACCAAAGGGGGATATGTTCATATATTGGAGCTTGTGGTAGAAGCCCTAAGTTGTGTATAAAAGATTACCTTCTTATGGAGATGGAGTTGATCAAGCTGGTGGAGCTGTGAAGATCTTCAGTTGGACTACTAGGCAGCAGTAAGTCCAGTATGGGCACATAAAGAACCATGGGATGGTGTGTCTGTGATATGAACCATCTGATATGTGAAGATCTCTTATGGAACTAGTGATTCACTTCTTGGCTAAGAAGTACTCTATCTTGTCATACGGGAGAATGATAAGGTAAAAGGATTGTCTTGGAGTATGATGTGAAGGTATTGAGTGCATTCTGGTGTGATAAAGTCCCTATACGGTGTCTATCTTGTACTCAGCCTAAGGCCAGAATACTTGTGGAAAAGTGGTCTCTTCTGCTACAAGTAACTCTAGGAAGAGGTGGATCAGTTTGGTGCCTTCTCTCTGTATGAGCATAGAGTAGGTCATGAGAGATAATGTGGTGATCTTGGAGCAGTTGTTATCAAAGATAGGGGGAGAGCTTCTAATTGATGGGTGTACTACTTGCTTGTGGTTCAAGCAGTAAGTGAATGCGTTCAACATGTGTGTTGAACAGAGAATGAGTTCTTGAAGACATGAAGATGCGTCTTATGTTTTCCATTCATGTGCACTGGATACCATTGATATGGGAGGGTTATACTTCTATCCAAGATCTGTTGTTATGGATCAAGATTGTTTGTGGGTTCAAACAATTTGAGTTCTTTGTAAAGGTGGAATGTCGCACAAGATGTTGTGACATTGAGTTACTGCTCTAGCTCATGCTGAACATGACAGTGGATTCCTTTTGGGTCTGTCATCAGGTGCAAATGGATTAAATCAGACTTGCACAAGCATTGTTGGGAGTAATATAAAGATGAAGATCAAGACATCAGCAACCTTGATCGTGTGCAAATGGAAGGACCTTCACCCTAAAGAGTCTTGCAGATAATAATCCTGCAACTGCTTCTCATATTGGCTCTAGTATGGGTTGTGAATCAAAGGGTGCAGAGATGCATGTGCTTCCAGTGTGTGAATATGAAGATGTTGAAGTAAATCTTCATATGGATGGGTTCTCTCTTTCAGGGGGAGCAATGTTTATGCTGACAGGGGAAGAGGTGTACCTGTCTGGTGTGTAGCTGCTGAAGTGGTGCAGTCATTTTTAGAGGTCAAGCAGCTTGGGTAGTTCTTGGGAGATGGTGAGATGACTGTATGTACAGTTTGTGCATATGTATGTACAAGTACTCAATTTGTGTCAAAGTTTTGACTAAACCAAGGGGGAGAAAAGAAAAACATCTGCTGCTGATGATGAGGAAAAGCATTGTTGTTGCCATGCTGGATGCAACTATCAAGGGGGAGCTTGATAGTTTGTGTAAACTATTGTTGAATGTCCTGATAAGTTGTTTTAGCCAAAATTTGCCAAAGGGGGAGTTTGTCAGTTTCATGGTTCTATGATATAGAATTGTCCATGGTTCTATGATTGGCTAAATTATGGTAAAACAAGATTCTGCACAAATAATAAGCAGGATGTCATTACCATAGTTATGACATCGCTAAAGAAGCAAGCAGGAGCTGGTGAAAGAACTGTTGTGGAGTGTTTTAATGTGTGTCATGCTGAATGTCGTGACATCCATCAAGACATCTATCTGCTGGCATGACAGAACTTTGTCATGTCATTACATCTGGTGCAGCAGGAGCTATGTGCAACAGGAGCTAGCAGAGACTGACATCAAGGTTGAGTGCAGCAAGAGCAAGCAGGAGCTAGCGGAGGCTGACATCAAGGTCGAGTGCAGCAAGAGCAAACAGGAGCTAGCAGAGGCTGAAGAAAGGACTGTTGTCATGGATCTCATTAACAAAGTAATGACATAGTTGTCTGGCACAACAGGCACTGATGTGGGTCAACAGTAGCGTAGTTCCTCATAGGTTGAGTTGTGATGAAGTTCCTCACAGGCAGTGTGAGTTGTGCAGCCACAACAGGTTAAGTTGTGATGAAGCTCCTCACAGGTAGTGAGTGAGGTGTGTTGTCATGTGTCTTAAGAAGGACATCGTTGCATGACAACAGAAGGAGCTGCTAGTGTATATCTCTTGACAGAATTGGTTTGGATTGATGAGACCATGTTGAAAATAGCTCATGAGTAAATATGTCAAGGAGATGGATTAGGAATAAGAACATATTGTATTGGTATTCATAAAAGGATCTTGGAGACCTTTTAGGAAACTTGAATATACTTGTTTCTAATATTATTCTGCAGAAGATTGGGAGAAACTATGACTGTCATGGTGAAGATTCTGCAGAAGTGTGCAGCAGTGCAAGCTGGTCAGCTAAGAGTGAGTAAAAGCTTAATGTCATACGGAATGTCATGACATTGATCGTGTGACATCAGTCGTACAGGCATGTTGGTTTTCTGTTATCTCAGGCTAGATTTCAGGAAGACTTGTTATGACCCCTGAGTTATATCAGGAGAGATTCAAGGCAATGCTGACCATGCCATGACCTAATTGGGCAGCACCTTGAATAGTGGAAATTAGTTTTACTTTATTAAAACTAATATTTGTTACTTCTGCACAGCCCAAGCCCAGTCTACACAGTTATAAAAGGAAGCGCAGAAGCAAGGGAAAAGCAAGCACTCACATCAAGAAAAATCAGAGTGTAAAATAGAGGTCTAGGGTTGAGAGTCCCTTGTGTGTAAGTCACCTTTTGTATCTTTTGATACATTGAGGTAGACATATTTGTAAGTGAAGAAGGATAGTCTTCACGTGTAAAGTCTGTTTAGGAATACTTGTAATCCAAGCAATTGTCTGGTGGATGATTGTTTTGGTTAGGTAGATTCTAGGTTGTGTCTCACTCGAAGCTGTGAAGCAAGAGTGTGTGAGTTCCTTGATCAAAGCTGTGATGCAAGATCAAGGTGTGTATGAAGTGTCTCTTCATATTAAATTATGCAATTGTTTGATATCACTGTTATGTGATTGAGGGGGAGTGAGTGGGTATACTCAGGTACTAAAGTGTCTCTAGGCTGAAGTGTCATTGGGTAGAGATTAAGTTAGAAGTGAAAACTGGAGGTTTGACTTTGAATTGATTCTACTAATAGTGAATTTCCTCCCTGGTTTGGTAGCTCCCAAATGTAGGTGTTGTTGATACCGAACTGGGTGAACAATTACTGTGTTATTTATCTTTCTGCATTTACAATTCTGTACTTTAAATGGTTAGATAAATAGTATGACAGACTGCAGATGTCACAACAGAGGTCGTGACATTGGTCATGACATTGAGACAATTTAAAGAAATTTAAATTGGCCATGGTATGTCCTCATCCTTGTTGAGCAGAGATCAATGTTCTTGGAACACATGTGATCTGCATACCAGAATTTCATTTTTTATTTTCATTTCAGGCTTGGATATTCCAGCATTTTCCCATGATCGTCGGGTGGGGGAGTATGTCTAATTACACAAAGCTGATGTCGTGTGCCCGTGCCTTTCTCCCGCTCAGGGGGGAACCAGGCGGACGACCCTTACAGAGTCTATCTCGATCGCCTGGCTTCTGAGGACATCTGATATGACGTCTATGCTGATCACCGTGTGATGCGCTTGTTTGACGACATCCCCCTATTCTCAGGATGGTTGGCATGCAATTCGACCATCATTGTTCCATATTTGCCTGAGCGCGTCATGTGGCAGTTCGGCTACACTCAGACCATTCTCAGACATCCAATTGTCTCCGACCGTATGCAGATATAGGAGATCTATGCCGACTACCAGAGACACATGGTACCTGACGAGGCTCAAGCGACCAGAGCGCCAACAGACTGGAGCTGCGTTGATGGCTACATCATGTGGTTCTTCACCGTCTCACACCCCTACATGGTGCCCACTGCCGAATGATCACCGCTCAGACCAACTCATCAGATCTTAAAAGAGTAACAGTCTCAGTTGGACCACACTCAAGATGTCTTGCCTCGTTGTTGTCAGATAGTGGAGATGGGGCGGACAGGCATTGTCGCTGGTTTCTTCCCTGAGGGGTCTGACCACAGACGTGTATTGGATGGGATGATTGCAGTAGTAAAGGAGTCTGAATATCTTATGAATATCTTTATATATATATATATATATATATATATATATATATATATATATATATATATATATATATATATATATATATATATATATATATATATATCCAAAAACTTTTTCTATAGATGCATCTTCAAAAGCATCCGGTATCAAAAAAAAAAGACTGCGTCTAAATATGAATCTCTAAAAGTAAGAGGCATAAAAAAAATTGCTAAATGCCTAAGAGTATCAATAGGTAGATTAAACAATTCTCATATTATGGATCCGAATTTCAACAAGAGCATGTGCTAAATCAGCTTATTTGAGGGGGAAGGAAAACGAGCGGCATCTAAAGCCTTCTTATGAATACTAAACATCAGTATTAATCGCTTTATTAACTTGATTATTTCTACATAATAGAACTCTTGTATGAATCTGTGAAAACATCTAAATCGCTTTATTAACTTTGACTATTTCTACATAAAAGAACTCTTGTATGAATCTGTGAAAACATTCAAATCGTAAACATAATCACCAAATTATCCAAGGACTTTTTTAAGTCATCGTTCTTGCAACAGAGGTTTCATGGATCATTAGACGTCTGAGAAATCGAAAGATATTAGCAAACACGAGCATTATGTTGAAATGAATCTTATAATATGCATGGTCATCTATTATCACTCTACATCTCCCTCCAGGGATAACATGGCAAGGGTTCAAAACAAATTTGAAGTATTTTTAGGGCAACTTGTAGATTAAATGATGTTCGCCGACACAAATGATATATTCCTCCTGTGTTTTCTTTTTCCCAAAAAGAAAAATCTCCAACAAGTAAAATGAAGCAAGAAAACTTGCTAGGCTAGGCTGGCTAAAGAAAAGGAAATACAGCTCTAGTCCTGCTATTTTATTCTCCAACTGTCAAACCAAATCCAAATTTGTAGTCTTTTTTCTTGTGATCAAGCTGCAATAAGTAAATATGAAAATTTTGTCAAAGAATGATGAATAATCTGATAAAACTTATATGTACATACCCACACTACAATGACAAAGGAAAGTGCTCTGACCTCGGCAGAAAGAATGAAGTTCAGACCCATGTTTAACCGCTCCTCCAAAAATGCAGCACAGACGCCATTGGAATCAACCTTTCCCCTAAGGCGGCACTATAATAACCAACACAAGATGTTGAAACAAGATAAGATGGTTTTTCAACTGGATAAAATGGGTTAAAATTTTCATCACAATGAGCAAAGTTGAAGAACTTCAAATGGCCAACTGTGATCCTAATCAGCTTTCAAAGGGAGACATGGGTGGTATGTTTCTTCCACGTAATTCACATTGTGTAGTACCAAGTGCCGTTTAAAATAAAGAAATAGGCATAAAAATTGTGGAGTCGTTTAAAATCAGCCAAGGAATGACAAAGCATAACACCAAATATGTAGTACTAAGTACCTGTCTAAGGATGTAGTCATAACCAAAGCTAGCAGTGACGTCTCTTGACATGGAGTTGAAGTTACACATCAAATCAGTAGCCAGAGAAACCTGCAAGGAAAATCCAATGTAAGAAATAAAAAGGACTAAGGAAAGCACAAATCTACTATGTCATGATTGACTCACCTTATCAGATACCTTCTGAACATAGCTTAGAAGGGCCATTCCAGTGCTGGCAATTTGTCCAGTGGCAACCTGGATGAATACAAGTAATTTGATATATTTTGGTAGCGATATAACCGAATAAGTAGGTGATAATAATGGAAACATTGAACAGAAAATAAGATAATATGTAGCATATGTTAACAATCCCAGATATCAGAGCAGAGCATCCAGAAAAACGATATAGCACAATAGGATGGCTATTATTCTATAGAATGGAGGTTAAGTCAATAGAGGAATAGATGGGGGAGCACTATCACAGCTCTATTCCCACTATTCATGGTTGCAACAATGAACTGTGATGCAGTGGCGAGTACTGTAGCAGTCAGGGCCTCCACCACACCATGACAGTTCTAATGGTAGCCCTTTGTAGGATAACAATAACCAATGATGTACAATTGAATAAGTAGAAGCATACTATATCCACTTGGTATATTATCTTTATGATGTACATAATTGTATTATAGCAGGAAGAATAGGAAAAACAAAATCCTTGAAATTGACTTAAGCAGCAGCATAATGTATAGGGCAGAACATTTGTACAAACATCAGAAGAGACAGCCATAAACTTTAGATAAATAAACAGTTGTGAAAGATCTGAAATTAAATAAATAAGCAGAGGGAAGCAAGCAAGCTGCAGATAATGCATGTAAGAACAAGTCTTAAGTCATCATTACCATTTTATCAGTATTGTAGCGAGCAGCATAACCAACACCAGACTTCCGATGCTGACCAGTCCAAAATACCTCCCCACCCAATGATAAATGATTGGTGACACTCTGCAAAACAAAAGTCAATGTTTTCAGTAATAAAATGGATTTATTCGCATGTCAATAAATTGTACCACAGTGCAACAGATTGAATCAGTAGATATGTTTCGGATTAGGGGATAAAACAGTAAAGCTTGTAAACTATTTAGAATAACGATAATACAAAATAGACCTAATGTAGAGATGATCCAATCATCCAATTAAAACAACAACACAAGCAATTATACATCAACCCATGAGAACGGGTAAAAATTGCCCATAACAAACTGAATGTATCTCAAAACCTAAGCTGATGGCCTGATGCACAAGTCCATACATTTATATTAGTATACAAAAATACATAAATTGAACTTACTAAGCGCTTCATACAAAGAAGAAACTAAAAACTCTCTCGCTCAACAATGACATTGACCGATTGACCATCACATGACTTAAATATGAGGCAAACTACTAAAGTTAAAAGTATTAAAAAAATCAATTATATATTTGAAGAGCATGCGTTATTTCCATTTCTTGAAAATTTGCTAGCTTCCATATATCTATATATACCACTGTTTAAGTAGAAATGCCTACCTTAAAATAACTGTAGAATTAGTTTTCACATAGAATCCCATTACTGCGCGGTTGTTATAAATTATAACCCTTCTTTTATTCAAAAATTAAACTGTAGATTAAGGAAGTAGAGTAGGTCATTTATAATTGCTTAATCATACTCAGAAGTAGATAGGATTGCTGACAGTACAATGCCAATCAGTTCAAACAAAACCAGATAGCTGTATGCAAGTAATATACTGTAATAACAGTAAAAAAAAAAAAAACTAAATTATGATATCCCTCAGTTTCCTAATATAAACAAGTTAAGTAATCTAAATGACTTTTTCCTACCTAAATCTCATATAAAACAGGCACTTAAAGAAGAAAAAAAAGAGCAACACAGTGGATGCAGATCCCCTACCTGAATATAACTTGCTCCTAGCAAAGATCCATTTCCCAGTTGAATCTGGGTCCTATAATCCTTTCCCTGAAAAATATAAAAATGAACTATTAAATAAGGAAACTACTTGAGCACAATTTGCATGCATAGTCAGAGAAAGTTCCACTAAGAAACTACCAAACAATATATGCCAATAGAAATATAATAGTTAATGAAAAGAATATGTAAATGGACAACTAGTAAATGAGGGCATCAAATGAAATAATCTAGATTCTAAAAAAGGAAAACTAACAGACCTTGTAATCAAAGTTGACAATCCCTTGCGACGCATGTGGCTCACTTGATAGCTGTAAAAAAGCAAGAAAGTAGAAGGTTATGAGAAATTAAAGAGACAACAAAAAAAAACTAAGAATGGGGAGGGGTAAGGAGATGTGTAAACCAAATACTCTACAAATAAATTAAGTGGTCATTTAATGTCAGAGAAATTTCCCTTCCACCAATAAGTTGTAAGTTATCATTTCAAACATGAAACTAGACACAAGAAAACATGCTCTCTTCATAATACTTAATAATAAATTCTAAAAGATACACACGCTAACTAATCAGTGAAGTAGACACAACAGAAAGTCATAAGCTACATTGCTTTAAACTGAAACAAGCATACACACCTGAGCATTGGCTTTTACAGTGAGATTCTCAGTCAAGTCATACTTGACTCTAGCAGTTACCCTGCCATCAGTCAAAGCTCTCCCCATAAGCAACATCTGCAAAACATCGCCATGGTTAAAAATAATAATACTAATAATGTGTTATAGCATAAAACAAACAGCTCATAAAGTTCATTTCAATCAAAACCAAGCTATACCTTAGGATGATCAATGACAGTTGCACCAAATTCATAGTTAGCAGTTGGAATTTTAATAATCTCCGCAGACTGAGAGGGAACCTCAGTAGGTCCCATCGAAACACTGCTCAAATCAAATCATATAAACAAAAGCTTACAAACAAAATTTAACTTCAAACAAAACAAATAAGCAAAATGTACCTGTGATTGAGAGAGAATTTCTGATTAAGCATTTTGGTGAAATCAAAACGCATACCCTCGAAAAGCTCAGGTTTCAACGACACTAACAAAACAACGAAATTCTAAGTATAATCTATAATCTATAATCTATAATCGTATAATCTGTAAAAAAGAAATAGAAAAGAAATGAATTATAATTGATTAATAGAATAAAAAGAGAAATGAAATGAACATACTCATAGCTTCGCGATGAAGCTCTTCGAAGGGAATGGGACAAGGGAGGTTGGAGTAATCGACTTTGACATCGGCCTTCTTGTCGTCGGCGGTGGGAATCGGAGGAATCGTCGACGCCATTGTTGAGATCAGAGAGAGGAGAATAGTAAATCAGAATTTGGAATTTTCTAAAACCCCTCACAGAGCGATGACTGCTAAAACCCTAGCTAGCGCTTTTGCATCAGTGTACACACACTTTTTCATCGCTTCAAATTCTACCCGACCCGTTTAAAACGGGTTCAGGATTTTTAACGGGACCCGTAAATGCAGTTTTTTACCGTCTATTACCAGAATCACAACAAACCGTTAAAAAATCGTTTTATTAACTAATTATTCTTTTTTTTTTAATCTTTAAATTATTAAATATTAAAAGAATTATAATATGTAGTATATCGACTTTAAGTTACCTTAAAAGTAAATTTCATTTGAAATCGTTGTATACATTTGTTTCTTAAAAGTAGTTTTAATCGTTTGCACAAAATTTATACTATACTCAATTATGATTGTAATTATAACTTAGTAGTTGTGTATGTTTAGTAAACTTTTTACTTTTTACAAACTCAATATATGAAAATTAATGTTTTTAAATCTATTTATTATTAATTCTACCAAGATTTTTGAAATGAAAGTATATATTTTATTTCAAATCAACTAATGCATACGATTCATTAGATCTTAGTGATGTTAACTAAAATTATATCTAACTACAAAGCATATCCACTCGTGTTACTCTTCATATAATGTGGTTGATTGAACATAAATTCACAATTTTCTATGTAAACTATACCTGATAACCATGTTGAAAATTATATTGTCTTTTACATTAGGTTTAATTCATTCCTCCCAGTATAGAACAGTTTTTCGGTTCTTGCCAATCAATGATATCTTATTCTTTCACATAGTACTCATTTATCTATTTGTCGGTTTTTGCCTGTTGATCGTTATGGCTTGATTCTACTTTATAATTGATGTAATATTTAAACCACCTGTTATTTTGGGTTCACAAATTTTTTTCCTATACCATTGAGGCTTTTCTTCTACCTGCATCTTTCCCACTCCATAGAAAATTTCTACAAGTATCTTTAATATGTTTGATCACTTTTTTTGGCATTGGAAACACCTGCATCTAGTAAGAAGTAACAACAAATAACACACTTCGAATTAATTAATATCTACATGCATAACTCAAAAGCTTTACAGTCCAATGTCTAATGTTTACCATTATTTTATCAATGAGAGGCTAACACTGATGAATATTGAGTTTCCTACTTGGTAGAGGGACTCCGCAAGATATTTAAAAGATAATTTTCCCGCAGTAAAATTAGTGGCATTGAGAATTTTATCATGTTCTTGAGATGGTAATTCCCCAAAGTAAACCTTGCATTTTGCAGAGTTAGCTTTCAAACCAGTTAAGTTTGAGAAGTTTTTGAATTCCTTAGTCAGAAGTTATACAGATGTTGCATCTCCTATTGTGGACATGATTAAGTCGTCTGCAAAATAAATGTTAGTAATATGTAGTCTTTCACACTTCGAATGGTAGTTGAAGTTGTGGTTTTTCTGTAAGTTCTCCCAAGCTCTATGTAGATACTTTTTGATAAGAACAAAGTATGGGGATATTGGATCACTATGTCTGAGACCTCTCTTTGCTTTTAGAACCTTGTTATTTTTCCCATTGATTACATACTTATATAAGACTGTGTTGATACAAACCATTCTCCATTTAATTTATCTTGAAGGGAAATTTATTTCTCTCATGACAGCGTCCAATGTTATCCGCTCTACAATGTCATAAGCCTTCTACAGATCCATTTCTATTGCACATCTCGATAAGACCAAATCGATGTAATCTTGGGAACGAACTAGTTTGAGTTCAACTATCTTCATATCAACTATTATAATAAGACTGTGGAGTTTCTTGAGTTTGGTCATAATGAAGAGTTGGTCATCATGTCCATTAAGCAAGTAGACAGACTTCTAGAAGATGAAGCTTCAATGTTTACGTTGCTTGCATCATTGCAAGTTGATCGTGAAGATGCGAGTGTCGAATTACTTGTTCTCCTTGAATTTCCAAAGGTGTTTCTGGATGACATGAGTGATTTACCTCCAGAGCGTGAAGTAGAGTTTGCAGTGGACTTGATACTAGGAACGAGTCTAGTGTCAATGGATCCTTACCAGATGTCCGCTTCTAAATTAGGTGGATTGAAGAATTAATTGGAAGAACTGCTTGAGAAGAAGTTTGTTCAACCGAGTGTTTCTCTATGGGGTGCTCCTGTGTTGTTAGTTAAGAAGAAATATGGTAGTATGAGGTTGTGCGTTAATTATTGGCAGTTGAATAAAGTGATATCAAGAATAAATATTCACTTCCGAGAATTGACGATTTGATGGATCAGTTAGTAGGCGTTTGTGTGTTTAGAAAGATTGATCTAAGGTATAGTTATCATTAGATTCGTGTTAAACCTGATGATATTCCGAAGACAGCTTTTAGGACGAGGTATGGTCACTATAATACACTGTGATGTTGTTTGGTGTATCCAATGCACTAGGTGTGTTCATAGAGTATATGAATCAGATTTTCCGTGAGTATTTGGATAAGTTTGTAGTGGTTTTCATTGATGATATTCTGATATACTATAAATTTGAAGAATAACATGTTAGGCATTTGAGGACTATGTTGCAAGCATTGAAAGAGAATAAGTTAAATGCAAAATTGTCGAAGTGTGAGTTTTGGTCTAAAGAAGTGAGTTTTCTTGGCTATGTGATTTCAAGTGGTGGGATTATTGTGGATCCTTCTAATATTGATGATGTGTTACAGTGAGAGACTCTGAAGTCTGCTACTGAGATACAAAGGTTTATGGGTTTGGCAGGTTACTATCGCAAGTTCATATAAGGTTTTTCTAGATTGGCTTTACCATTGACTCAATTGACTCGAAAGGGTCAAGCTTATGCGTGAGACGTCGCTTGTGAAGAGAGCTTTGTGGAATTTAAGAAGAGATTGACAACCGCTCCGGTATTGATTTTGCCTAATTCGAGTGAATCTTTTGTGGTGTATTGTGATGCGTCAAATATGGGTCTTGGTGGAATATTGAGTCAAAATGGACAACTTATTACTTATGCTTCGAGACAATTGAGAGTTCATGAAAGGAATCATCCTACGCGTGACTTAGAGTTGGCAATTGCGGTGTTCGTGTTGGGAATTTGGAGACATTATCTTTTTTACTCTAAATTTGAAGTGTCCAGTGATCATAAGAGTTTGAAGTATTTGATCAGAAAGAGTTGAATATGAGCCAGAGAAGGTGGTTGGAATTATTGAAAGATTTTGATTTGAGTTACCATCCGGGTAAAGCAAATGTAGTGGCTGATGCATTGAGCAGGAAGTCATTGCATATGTCGATGCTTATGGTGAGAGAATTGGAATTAATCGAATAGTTATGAGATTTGAATTTGGTATATGAAGAGACTCATGTCAATGTAAAGTTAGGTGTGTTAAAACTGACTAGTGGTATTCTAAAAAAATCAGAGTGGGTCAGCAATCTGATTTGAAGTTGGTTGATCAGTCGATCTTAATTAACCAAGGTAACAGAGATGAATTTTGAATTGATGAGAATGGTGTGATGAGGTTCAGAGATAGAGTGTATGTTCCAGATGTTTCAGATATTAAGAAGAGTATTCTAGAGGAAAGGCATCGAAGTAGATTGAGTATTCATCCCGGTGCTATGAAGATATATCAGGATTTGTAGAAATTGTTTTGGTGGCCATGTATGAAGAAGGATATTGCTGAGTTTGTATATGCGTGTTTGACTTGTCAGAAGTGGAAGATCAAGCATCAGAAACCATTGGGTATGATTCAACGTTGGAAATTCCTGAATGGAAATGGGATAGTATTTCCATGGATTTTGTATCGGGATTGCCGAAGTCTACAAAGGGGAATGATTCAATTTGGGTGATTGTGGATAGATTAATTAAATCGGCTCATTTCTTACTGATGAATATTAATCATTCTGTGTAGAAGTTAGCTGAGATGTACATTGAGGAAATCGTGAAGTTGCATGGGATACCTTTGAGTATTATTTCGGATAGAGGCCTGAGATTTACGTTGAGGTTCTGGAAAAGTTTGCAAGATGCTTTGGGTACTAAGATGAGGATGAGTCCTGCATATCATCTGCAGTTGGATGGTCAGACAGAGAAGAATATCCATTCTTTGGAGGATTTACTAAGGGCTTGTGTGTTGGATCAAGAAAGATCTTGGAATATCCATTTTCCATTGATTGAGTTCACATACAACAATAGTTTTCATGCTAGTATTTGGATGACACCGCATGAAGCTTTGTATGAAATAAGGTGTAAGACTCCATTGTGTTGGTATGAGTTAAGCGAAAGTGTTGTACTCGGACCTGAGATTGTGCAGGATATGACTGAGAAGATTAAGATGATCCAAGAAAGGATGAGAGCTTCGCAAAGTCGTCAAAAGAGTTATCATGATAAGAGAAAGAAGGCACTTGAATTCCAAGAGGGAGATCACGTGTTTTTGAGAGTTACGTCGGTGACTGGCATGGGTCGAGCTTTGAAGTCTATGAAGCTTGCTCCATATTTTATTGGTCTGTATCAGATTACATAGAAGATGGGGGAGGTAGCCTATTGGATTGCTTTACTGTCGTCGCTTGCGAATTTACAAGATGTGTTTCATGTATCTCAGTTGAGGAAGTATATTATGAATCTGTTGCATGTGATTCAAATGGATGACGTACAGGTGAGAGATAATCTGACTATTGAAGCATTACATGCGCAGAGTGATGGACGAGAAATGAAACAACTATGGGGTAAAGGCATAGCTTTGGTGAAGGTGTTATGGGGTGGACCAGCTGGTGAGAGTTATGTCACACCCTCATTTTCACCTTTAGCCTTTCATACCCTACGTTCGCCATATCATACATCATTCTATTGCATATTGAGCATGTGGGTTCACAAGGTAAAGATTGGGTCGGTTCGTTGTTTTCCATTTCAAATAAGATAAATTGCCTATCATGGGCTACATGGAAGAAAAGGTCCATCATCTAAGGTTTGGTTCAAGTTGGAAAGTCTAC